GAAGCAATGAGCATGAAACTGAGCAAACTCAGGGGGGCAGTGAAGGACAGGAAGGCCTGGCCCAATATGGTTCATGGGGTCACGAAGAGTCAAACACGACTTAACGACTGAACAACAACAACAACAACCAGATTAATTTATATTCTGAGAGGAATTCCAGTTTTTATATCTGGAAAATATTTTCAGAAAATACATTCTTTGTTTAGAACATTTCCATGGGGTTCTTCAATTCCAAGAATATCTTTACAGAAAATGCAATTATCAGTTAACAAGGGAGGATTCACTCTTCCGAATCTAGAGCTATATCATCAAGCTTACCTATTGTCAAGTATTAAATACTGGAAACCAATAAGTGGTGTTAATTTTCCAATTTGGGCAACTTTGGAATATACGTATATAACATCTTTGGTCGGATGGATAGTATTAGGATCTAAACATACTAAAACTCTAATATCTCGGGAAACAATTTTGTCAGTTAGAAAGCTATGGAACATAATGTCTAATAAAAAAAAAATTGACCCTTTTTCTCATGCCAAATTGACTTTATGAGGGAAACCCAACTTTAAAAATTGGGGAAAAGATGGTGATATAGAAAAATTGGATGGAAGCATGGATATTGACTTTAGACCAACTGATAGATGATGATGAATTTTTAACATACTCTCTCTTAAGAGATAAATATCATCTGTCAGATGTAACCCAATGGCAATATTTACAGCTACAACATTTGTTAACAACATCATCTGGACCATCAGCATTATCAGCTTCTGAGACACCCAAGACATTAGAACAACTTGTTAAATCCTTTAAAACTAAAAAATCTATTAGTTTTTATATTTGTCATCAATAAATCAAGTTGATATACAGATGTTAAGGGATGAGTGGAATAAAGAATCAGAGGCTTCTATACTGCCTAGACAATAGGAGAGTATCTTAACTTCTATAGCAAGAGTGTTGATGGCCTTAAACTACAACTTATACAACAAAAAATAATATTTAGAATTTATTGGACTCCACTACATCTGTATAGAAAAGGATTGTCAAAAACAGCACTGCATTGGAGATGTAATAAGTACAATACCTCTTTAAAGCATATGTTTCTACAATGTCCTCTATTTACCAAGTTTTGGGAGAAAGTAGTGGACTATATAAATATGATTATGCCACAAAAGCTAAAATTTTCAGAGGATAATATTCCTTTGAACTATACTCCTAATACATGGAATTTGACATCTGGACAACGTAAATGGATTCTCCGTGTCCTTACTATGCCCAAAAGACTGATATTGCAGCATTGGAAAGATAAATGTATGGCCCCATTTACTCCATGGATTA